GAGAGAGAGAGAGAGAGAGAGAGAGAGAGAGAGAAACCAACACGAAATCAGACAGGAAGAAGGAGGGAAGGGGGAGGCGGTGGGGCAGAGAAAAGAGGGGTACGTGGGAAATGTAGCACAGGAATTAGGGCGGCGCAGCAGGCCGAGGCAATAGAACGAAGCGAATGGGACGGATGGGCGGGCTATCTCGCTTGTGTGTTGTCCTTTCTTCACCTGTTGTCGTAATGTGCATGGTGTCGTCTCTAACCACTACCACGAACGCGTTGTTGCTCCTCGTCGATGGACCCACGCCAACAGATCAGAAAAGGCCTCCGGGGGGCAGCGGCGGCGGCAGGAGAAGAACCGACGGTGTCTCCGTTCCCTCCATCGCCGGCGTGCTCCGCCTCTCAACCCCCCCCGCCCCGCCGCTCCAACGGGCAGACGGACGCCGCGGCAGCGGCAGCGGCGGTTGCGGCGGCGAAGAGAGTGCGGCCGGCGACCATGACCTTCGCCACAGCCAAAGTGGCGACGGCCGAGCTCCGCGAGCTTATCGTAGCGCTGGTCCGGGTGCACCGAGAGCCGGTGACGTCGCCGTCGGCGGGGGAGCGGGCGGCGGCGGCGGCGAGAGCGGTGGCGTCGTCGTCGTTGTCGTCGTCGTCGTCGTCGTCGTCATCGGCGGCGGCGCCTGGCTTGTGACGAGACGGTCCCTTTGTTTTCTCGAAGGAAGAGGAGCAGGAGGAGGGGGGGGGAGGGGGAGGGGGATTGGCAAGGGGAGTGTGCGGAGGGGGATTGCGCTGCGCCGTTAGCTCGTGGAGGTGTGTGTGTATTGGAGATGCCTGTCATTTTGTGTGAAGCGGGAACGGGCGCCAAGAACGACTGACTACTGGGGGCAGGAGGCGGTGGAATCGGCTTGGCCTCGCGCGGCGCGAGACGTCCGAAGCGAAACAAGGCGATGCGGTGGATCTTTTGGTTCCCCGGGTTTTCACGCGAGCGCGGTAACGAGAGGCTGAATGTGAGGCGAAATGACGCGGGAGGTTTTGGTGTTTTCGGGGAGCCAAAAAGTGTCTCGTTTTGTGACCGCGCGCCCTTCCTTCCCCTTGGCCCCTGTGATGTGGTAGGTGTGGTAGTGAGGTCGCGATGGGGGACGTGTTACAGCCGTAGGTGTTGTTTGTGTGGGAGGGGGGTGAGCAGTGGAGCGTCCAAAGACAAGACACGGGCGGTGGCGGCGGCGTTTTTTGTTGGGGCTCGTCTCGATGTTTGCTGCTATGGACGCAACGAAAGAGGGCGAGCAATTGCCAAGTGGGCAGAAGGCTAAATCGGTTCACTGCCGGCGGTAGGGGTCGACCGCATGGTCGTGAACCAATTGATATGTTACCAAGTGTACGGGGGATGGTGGCTGAGAAGAGAGCAGCAACCACCGAACCCCCCCCCCCCCCNAACCCCCGAACCCCCCCCCCCCCTTGTGTTTTTTGTCCGAAGAACGCCTTGACCATGACCACTACGGAAGGTGAATATGGTACGACTTTGAATGAGAGTTGTTATGCCGGTCTTGCGGTGGGGCGTGATGATGCCGCTACGGGTTTTGAAGCAGATTCGAAGATGCGTCTTCATGTTCTAGTTTTCGCTCGCAAGAATGGGGGTCGGTCGTGTCCTACTAGTGGCTGAACGGGAACTTGAACCACAAATAAAATTGTATTTATTGCTTTTTGTTCCTCGTGTTTGGCGAACACTCGTACACGGCTGGATGATGTAGAAAGGCGAGCCTGCTTCAGCCGTTCCGGGAGTTGCTTGGGCTTGGAAGGCGGCCTTTCTTTCGTGCCGGCACCGGCGGTTGGTCTGATTTCACACGCACAGGAGACCCTTTGTACAACAAATGTGATGGGTACTGGTGTTTTATGTTCGCGTGTTGCGTTGCTGCGCGCGGGGGGGGGGGGGGAGAAAAANAATTGATGACGAACGCTTTGCTCGTATCTTTTTTTCGATTTTTTTTCATTCCGAAGAGAAAAACGCAGCCAGCAGGGGGGCTGTTGTGTGCGACAACCTTCATTTCTTCTTTGAAGAGGTTGGTGGGCGTCGCCTAATCCTGATCGTACGTATCTAACCGTTGTAAACAGGCTGGATCTGGTGCTGGTTTATGTTTTTTTGCTGTGTTAAGACGAAGGACGGACCTATGTGGAAGGCGAGGGAGGCACACCACACCTGCGTCGCCTAATCCTGATCGTACGTATCTAACCGTTGTAAACAGACTGGATCTGGTGCTGGTTTATGTTTTTTGCTGTGTTTAGACGAAGGACGGACCTATGTGGAAGGCGAGGGAGGCACACCACACCTGCGTCGCCTAATCCTGATCGTACGTATCTAACCGTTGTAAACAGACTGGATCTGGTGCTGGTTTATGTTTTTTGCTGTGTTTAGACGAAGGACGGACCTATGTGGAAGGCGAGGGAGGCACACCACACCTGCCTGTCCTGGTCGCGTAGTGTATGGTCGACCTTGCGAGCAGCACGCATGCACGCATGCGTGTGAGAGAGTGGTCATGATCTTGCTTCTTGCGACATATGCACACCAGATGCTGTGTTGTGTTGTGTGGACTACCGCTGTATCGGTCTTCCCGTGGCTGCTGCTGCTGCTGCTGCTGGTGTCTCTTGTTCTTCTTGCCTCTGTCTCAGCTGGCGCGTGCATCACACTACGTGTGTAAATATAAAGACCGTAGGAGAGCTTGCCTGTCGCCTGCTTTGGAGTTGCTGAGTACATGAGAGCCTACGCATACGATAGCTCGACGCTGCTCCACCTCCCCATCGTCTTCGGTTTGCATGCAGAAGTACAGGCACGTGTTCGTTTGACCAACAGGCATTTTTGAGAGAGCACATGTCGCGCTGTCTGCTGCACTACTATTTACTATCCGTATTAATAGTGTTTTGAGTCACGCACGTACGGTCATGTCATACAACATTCAGTAAGTCGTGTCCACGAATCACAACGCATGTGCCCCGTCAAGTCGTACGCACGAAAGGAAGGGAGCAGAGCCAAGGTCGTCTATAACTCGTACTACCACTTGTTTCACTTTTTTGTGTCTCGCACAGTGTACGTCCGCCACGTACGTAGAGATAGGACTACGAAGATAATGTAGGGTGTCTATTGGTACATTTACCCTATTATAGTCATGTGGCGAATCGCGCCGCTTCATTTGGGCCCTTCCGCCTTCCGCGAAACTTTACTTCGGCCGTGCGTGCCATGCTACGGTGCGCGTACATCGTAGTGTCAAGAAACGGACCCAACCTGCAGGCCTGCCCGAAACGAGCAGAGCCCCCAGACGTTGTGCGTGCTACATGACGTAGTCTAGACTCGTCGGTCGCAGAAATAAATCATGAGCTCTTATTGCCACTCGCCCGGTTGGTCCAGATTATTATTACTCATTAAATGCCGATCTGGTGTCGAACGGGGGGCCAGACCAGTCTCCTTGGCTCCATTTCAACACTGGGGACAGCAGCAGCCTGTCTGTTCGTGTCGCGGGGCACACTATCAAATTTGTGGTGGTGGCATATAGCATACACACGACGATAATCACAATCACTTTCGTTTGATCTGCCAAGTGCACCTTCATCATTGCAACATAAGTTCCGAAAGAAGACGACATGGGGGTAAGTAGATAGAGATGGACTCGTTGTGTCATATTGTGCCACATTTTTTTTTTAACGGTGACACCACTCCCGTGTGCCCGCACATCAGCCGCACATACTCCGTACATATGCATACCAAACTGAAAACACGTATGTAAACTGATGGATACTGTATGTCCTACAACTAACAGGGTGCCACACACAAAACGCCCGACTAACCAACAGTACCCAACACCTCTCGTCTGCACCTTCCCAACATAACATATATGAGACACACAAGACAGCTACCAAACTGATTTGTTGAGCCTGTTACCCACAGGGGAGATGTCCCTATATGCTGTCTGGGAAATCGTAGACACACAGGTAGTTTTCTCTGACGCTATGATTCCATTGTTAATCTGTCTCTGACTCTTTTCTATGATAGAGATGGACTCGTTGTGTCATATTCAGAAAAAAAAAAAAATGCCCCACGGGAGGGGAATACCGTATATGACACAAGATAACACATCCCCTGGACCGATTTTCAAAGCTCGATTACTCCACGACGAAGAGGATGCACAAACGAAATCATACATTTTCGAAAAGCTCTCGATGAGACGGTTTCAACACTCCCGTTTTCGGCGCTGTGACTGTTTCTTCAGTTGAAAAATCGAGCTTCGATAATCGGTCAAGGGGGTGTTTTATCTTGTGTCATATACGGTAGAATGTAGTAGACTGATTCCGTTGATTTGAATGTGACCCTCAAAGGGGCCGTGGCTGGGTAAAAACTAATTCAGGGACTGACCACCACTTGGCCTGGTGAAGGGGCAGCACGACGAAAACTGCACACTGCAACCCTGTTGTCCCCTCGATACACGCCCGATAGCAGCGACCAAGGTACATGTTTTCGTCCTACATTTCGCGGCGACAAGACATGGATGGATGGTCGACAAACTATACTACGGCTAACAACAAGCCGTGGGGAGAATGAGAATGATCGATCGCCATGCGCGTGGCGCGCATGTTTCATCCCCCCCCCCCCGCGCGCCACCCCGTCACTCGCGTGTCACGCCGTGCAATAGGGGAGCGACCTCCTCCATGGTAGCCTCACTCTCACCTACCCCTCCCCCCCCCGACGTGGTCGGCGATATCATCAGCCACCACCCACGTAGTGATGGTGCTTGAGAGGCGATATCATCAGCAGCCAAGACACACGCAACAAACAAGCACAGCAGCAGCAGCAGCAGCAGCAGCAGCAGCAGCGGGGCCATAACACACACGCGCGCGCGCTCACCAAGGAAGACCCATGTGCTTGCTCCGTTCAGCCGGTTGTCGTGATAGCGGTCGACTCGACCCAAACACACTCAGAGAAAGAGCACAACAATAACAACAACGACAACAATAACAACAACAACCACCAGCGAGTCTTCACCACTACAGAAAATCGATACTATTGCCTATTGGGAGAGAGAAGGGGAGAGACGAAGAGGGTGCTCCAAACCGACCCCCCCCCCCCCCCCCCCCCCCCCCCCCCCCCCCCCCCCCCCCCCCCCCCCCCCCCCCCCCCCCCCCCCCCCCCCCC